GCTTCATTCTCTTGCTTCATCCTTCTCCATTTTTTCGCCTCCTCCTCAACCCTTTCTCTTCCTTCACATTCACCATTACTGGTCAGGGGCATCCATACTCCTGCTTCTCTGCCTTCTTGAACCTCGCCCCTCGCCGGACTTTGACTTTGGCCCTCTCTGCATCTTCTTTGGCAAGTCTACCTCCTCAACATCACCGCCGTCGCTGCCATCATCGTCTCCCGTTCTTGTTCGTTTGACAGCAGCGCGAACACCATTTCCATTGGCTGTTGTAGAACTGGTCGCCTTGGTCGCTTTGGTCGCCTTGGTCGCTTTGGTCGCTTTGGTCGCCTTGGTCGCTTTGGTCGCTTTGGTCGCTTGGCTTGCTGCACCAGTGATAATAGTCTTGCTTGCTTTCTTGATGGCCTTGGACTTCCAACCGTGCGGAAGGCTGACTCCACGTGGACGACCTTCTCCTTTCCGGTCACTTTTGGTTCCATCGACTATACTGTCTAGATCCAATCCCTTGCTCAAATCTGCGCCTACGGTTCCAGGCTCTTGTGACTGTTGAACTAGAAGGCGAGCACCCTCTTCAAGAGCTTGCATCGTCTCCGCGATCCCGTCCAGCTTAATGGTGTTTTTGACGAGACTTTTGGCGGAGATAAGGATCCTGTTCCCTGGGACTTTGGGTTGTGTTGAATGAAGAGCAATAGGTGGAGGTCGAAGGATAGAGTTAGGGTCGTCCATAAAGGTGTCGATGGATAGATCCGTGCCGACCGGGTCTTTGCTGGCACCCTCGTTGACTGTTACCGTCTGTGCACGGAGGAAAGGTTTGACGGAGAGTTGTTGCTTGAGGTTCGGATCAAATTGTTTTCCCTCTTTGTACCAGCGTGGCAGAATCATGCAAGGGTGAAAAAGGAATCGTGCATCCTCCATCATCAAACAAAAGAAATGTCTACAAACAATGCCCTTATTCTGTTGCAAAGCGCAGGTACAGAAGTAGGTGCGGTTTGTTCGTAAGATCACATACTCTGGGCGCGTGCCTTTTCCTGTGTCAGCCATAGAAGAGACACGGAAAACCCCTTCCGATGTGTGCCTGGGGATGGACGTGAGCAAAGCATGAACCGAGCCACGCTGAAGTTGTTCAGCGCGGGATAGTTTTGACTGGAGGGAGTGTTTGGAATAAACCAGCGATTAGTGCATTTTCCTTTGTGTTACATAAACCAAGGAAAAAATGCTTGAAAAAGTAGCAAAGAGGATAAAATTAAGGCAAAGATGATAAAAATAAGGCAAAGGATCATTACAAAACTCACCAAGCAAAATTCACCATCCTGGACATAAGGAACCGCTCCGAAATTAACGACTGTGAACTTGAGGCCAAAGGAGTAATCCATCTCGGTTCGCAGCTGACCTTGGGCCCACTGGCTGAGGAATACCTTGCTGGCATCGAGGACTTGACCAAAGATATCGTAAGTCGTATCGCTGACGCCCAAGCGTCTCACCGGTCTGGCGTCATTCGGATCATTCGACAAAATGGTGAAGAGATCGATCTCATCTTCAATCTTGTTCATGATCGCTTTGAACAGATCCGATAGGGAAGTCTTGCTGTTATGCAGAAACATCTTGAGGACATCGTGGTTCTTTTCGACGCGCTGCGTGGAGCGCATCCCTGCGGTGAAAGAGGCTTGCACCCATGGTCCTGCCCAGAAATGACGACGGTTGTAAAGCCTTGCAAGATGTACTCCAACTTCGCCAGACTCGAGAGTATCACGCTCCTGTACGGACAAGATGGGGTCAGCAGCGATGTGGGAAGTGGCGACGTTTACTGGAGTGGAAAGGTTGGGTGGAGTGGAGAGGCTGGGTAGAGCGTTGAGGTTGTTGTTGCTGTCGTTTTCGTTGACGATGGTAGTGGCGATGGTGGCAGTATCAAAGCTAGGAGTAATAGTAGAGGTGATAGAGATGCCAAAGCCGTCTCCTCCAAAGTTTTGAAGGATGCGAGCCCAGATGCGTTCAAACTCGCCGGCTGTTAAGGCACAACAGGCGGCTTTGAACATACTGAAAAAGTGATTGTATCTCTCTTTCAATCTGCAAGACAAATGCTTCCTCAGATTTTCCTGGATATGCCATATGCAATTAATCACATGGACACCCTGAAACACCAAAGGAAGCGTTCTATCCATTGCCGCATCTTGATCAACCATCATAACCTTTGGCAGTAGTCCTTCGGTTGCCTCTTGAAGCTTGGAGAGAACCCATTTGTAGTCGTCTTTTGTCTCATGACGAGATAGAGCGGTCGCAACGAGTCGTGTCTTGAATTCACAATCGACGACCACAAAGTTGTGCAGCGGGAGGCCAAGGCGATTGGTGCGATAAGTATTGTCATGCACTAGCACATCACCATAGCGACGGAAAAGATCCCTCTGTCCTGGGGTCATCCAAAAGACCCGGACAAGCTGGTTCTTGTCATCAACATCGGTGGCAATATACCATCCCTTCTCCTGATTTGCCCTCATACATAAAGCGATTAGGAGCTGGACCGTCTGAGGAATCTGGATTGCATGGAGTAAAGTCCTAAACTCCTTTAGACGGTTGAGGACCTTTTTTTTTTTTTTTTTTGTATAGAGATAAAATGTGTATGAGAAAATTGATTTAAGTCAAAATGTAAAGTTGTCGCTCAAACAGTAACTGTCCACAACGATACCTGATATTTGCAGAACTTTGCATCCCGAAATTCGATACGCAAAATGTCCAGTGTTTGCTTGTATGACAGTCGAATTTGGGCACATTTCCCAATAGACGCGATCATAGGGGCCGTCAAGGGGTTGGTTCGGCCGAGATTAAAATCGAACTGGTGCTCACAGTGATCGAGGTTGAAGGAGGTGATGTGGTACTGAGGAGCAATGGACAGAGGGGAAGATATGCTGATCGCGTATGGGCAACCACAACGTGGACTCTCACGCTTGTTGTGCTGTCGATCCTCGTCGGCAACTTTCTTGGATTTATAGAACCCAAAGAAGCTGCAAACGTACTTGACTATTTAGTGGTGAGGAAAGAGGATAAGGAAGTAGAAAAAATGATATTAGAAATGAAAAAGGACGATTAGGTTTGCGATTTCGATTTCTTGCTCAACTCTATCTCACACTTGACATAACATGTACAAACCAATATTGCTTACCGGCATTGCCAGTCGAGGTGCGAATTATAAGCTTGTGCCCCTTTTTCAGTGCCCAAGACCTCAAAAATACGTCCGCAGCCGACCTTGATCCAAAACAATGGTGAACGGTGGGCTCCCAGCCCACCAGCAGTTCGCTAGCAACATCGCCAACCTTGACCGGAACTTGAACCGACCCATCCTCTTCATATCCGCACTCGTCCTCGTCGATCTCATCCATGCTCTCATCCTCCCTCATACGCTCCCGAGCGGAAAATACAGGTGTTGAGGATGTGTTGTAAAGAACGGCACTGACAGCTGCTGTGTGATTGTAAGACGAAGTGATGTTTTTGTTTTGATTACTGGAAAGAGTAGTTGGTGAGGTATTGGTGTTATTGTTGGAATGAGAAGGAGTGTCGCGCTTCAACATGTCGAGATCATTTCCTTCCAGCTTTTTCTGCCGTGACTCTCTCAGAGCCTCAAGATGTATCGTATTCTTATTGAACGACGAATATAACTCCTCTTCTGTCTCACCGTCATACAACTTGTCCTGATCCTGGTCCTCGGCCTCGTCATCGTCTTCATCATCCTCCTTGAACGTTTCCTGTTCATCCGAGTCAGCAAAAGCATTGTCCGACCAATGTTCACCCTAATAAAAAAGAATGATAGAGGAGAAAGAGGTACAGGCATTGAATACACAAATGCGATAGGGCAGAATGCCAAAATGAAATGAAAGCACCGTCTTGATTTTTATGTTACCTCCTTTTCGAGGTTGTTATGAGAGAACATGCTCTCGAATTTGTCGCCAAGTTCCTTAGCCTAAAAAAAACCATGGAAAAAAAAGGTTAGCAAAATGGTCCACGTCACTTCATACTCTGTTGGGTTGTGTTTTGAGCGACATTAAGGTACCTTTTGCAGCAAAGGGCTGGGAAGCGTAGTCAGCGGTGTTTTAGGGGAGGCGATGAGTGAGTCTAACGATTTAACACTGTTCTTTGAGTTGCTGGAGGTCGGGGAGAGATTCTACGTTGAGAAGCACGTTACATGTTTCAAAAATAAAAATAAAAATATAAAAAGAGTGAGCCTGGGTGTTTTTTTTCTTGGTTTCTTGATTATTATCTTTTTTTGGTTGCGATTTTTTTTCATTACCTTGGACTGAAGAACTGGTTGCTGCTCTGTGCCCGGAGAGGCCTCAAAGGAAGCAGATGTGGGTTCGGCTTTGTTCTTGCAACAAATGGGAGTCTCGACAAACGCGGCCTCCATTGCCATCTTTTCCATTTTGAGTTGGCTGTCCTTTGTGTCAAGAGAAATCTTGGGCTACAAAAAATTGAAGGTCTGTTAAACAAGAGTACACAAGTATTTTTGATTTTTGTGTACGACTACAAAAGGCACAAGCTAAATTCTCATTTTTTTACCTTGTCAAAGCCCATCAATCGAGCCAAATACTTGGCACGGTGTTTGACATTATCTTTTTCTGTCCAGGTGGTTATAGACTCCTGACCTGTGATATCGTTCTCGATCATATGTGCGGCAATTACGCCACACGAGCTGCTGTCCGACTGCCGAGGTTGGTGCAAGCGTTGAATATTCGTTCTAGTCCATTTTTTCGACTGAAGGCTGGATACCCCCAAACTAACCCAGGCCTTGAGGACATGGGACGGCGCCGGAGTATCGGCTGTCCGAAAAACGCATTCCATCTCCAACATAAACTGTGCACGAAACCATATCCAACTTGATCACTCCCCAGTGGCTGTCTAGGTAGACTATGGAATAGACGGGCGTCATAGCTTCCGTTTCCAAGGAACCATCGACATTCCAGTTGTAAAAGGTCTTGTTGCCTAACTTAGGGTGCTCCCGCATCCAATCAGACAGCCTATTAGGCGAAATAAAACAGGTTGGTGTTGCTGTTGTAAAATCCGTATCGGACCTCAAAATCGCCCATAATTGCCTCCAGAATGGTTGAGGTCATCCACTCTTGGCCGGCAAGAGGGAGAAGGGAAGCGAAGGAAACCGGCTCCAGACCAAGAAAAAACAGCGGGTCATCAATGCGAATAATCTCATCTGCTGCTGGTACCACTCAAAAAAGGATGGATTCAACGCAGCAACAGAGTTTCCTCATCCAACGGCGCGCTCGGTGAAGATGCTCAATAAGGCAGCCAGACTGGACTACTTCCTTCAAGAAGACAAAGTCTATTTCCTTGGAGACGCGGAAGGGGACAAAGGTCGACCCCAATGTTAATCCAGAGGCCGAGGTTGTTGTTGGTGTTCTTGAACTTGTTAAAGGTCGCGGTGTACGACTGGAGATTGGGAATGGTCCTCAAAACTGCAAGGCTCTCCTGGTTAAGGACTGTTGCCGGCAAAGTAGTGCAATGCTGTAGCTCACCCGTGTTACGGGTCGAGGGAAACTGAGGGAAATCGTTCACTTCTTGGAGCTGGGCACAAGGAATACGGTTTCGCCAGATCTTTCCATAAATCCAAGCCGCATCAGACCTGCAACCGCGGCAAAGCGTCAACGTCGATTGGGGTCGAAGCGGAGTTGATAATCGAGGGCATGCTTTTGGTAATGAAAGATGCAAGGGTAGGGATATCAGACGATTGCTGTGTACAATTAGTTTCAAACGTGAAGTACCAAAAACTGCAGAAAATCATTACATGAATGGAGAGAGTGGTAGTACTAATGGTAGTATTAGCAGTGGTGTTGGTATAGTGGTGGTGTTGTTATGGTTGTAAAGAAATTTACAAATTGGCGAATTTTACTTATGAAGCATTGTTTTTATAGTCTACCCAATGATAGCCAGAATTTTGGCGTTTTAGCAAGCGCGCTTGCACCTCTATTATTCTTCACCGATTGCAATGTGAGAAATAGCTTAGTCGTGCTATGGTTGTATTCATTTGAAGTAGGTATAATAGTAACTCGCACTTGATTCTTTTTTTTTTTAAAATAAGCAAACAAACATAATCCTTTCATTGACTAGGCGAAGCTCCTTTTTACTGCAAGGGTGACTCCGAATATGACCCTTGTCCTAAGTAAACTATAGGCGTGAAAAAGTCAATCTGGCTTTAGTTTATCCAAAGAAAAAGATCTCCGGAAGGGTGGTGCTCTTGGGCTTTTAGCACCATCTTAATCAGTAATTAGCAATCGCTTTTTCCACGAGCGTTGACTTACCATGCAGTTGCATTTTTTTTGAATAGCTTGCATTATAGGAAACAAAAAGGCCAATACCCAGGAACCAACAGGATTACCTCTTACTTACCAGAGTGGGGTTGAATATGAGGGCTTGATCGCCTAAGTACATCGATCATCCCATTTGCGCTAACGTAAGTACTTTAGGCAATAGCAACAGCAAAAACCCAGAAAGTGGTGCTTAAGGATATACTTAACACTTGACAAGACGAAGAAAAAAGCTGCCTTGAATGTCTATGCTCTTCAGGACTGTATAAAGAGACCAATGTTCATTCCATGTAGATACCATCAACTTTTTCTTCTTCTGATCCTTCACTTTTTAAAACAAAAAAATATGGTCAACATCCTCCCCACCTGCACATACTACCACTGCGCTATGAAGTGGCCAGCGCGACCTCATTCTCCTCTCATCATTGAAAAAAAAATGCTTCATTTTCACGACTATCACACCCCCTACTCACTGTCTCTCAAAAACAACCACCCCACCGCGCAATCTCCACTTACTGAGATATTTGTCCGCAAGGCTAGCAAATCAATGGAGTTTGTTTGCTATTGTGGTGCCTCCAGCCCAGGTCGATCAGTCCTTCAGCTTCATCGCTCGTTCTGTCTAATGCCAGCCCCTGATATGACTATCCTCTCGCTCTCACCTACGGAGGTCGTTGAATTAGACGCGTTTCTGGACGAAGGTCTGGTCGACACCAAGCCAAAAGCACACCCCTCTGATCACTTTGGTCTGTCGCTGGGGGATGTTGATGTTGGTAGCCTACGTCGATGCGATGAAACATCCCCCTTGTCTCCTGGATACATGGACGATAGTTCCGAGGAGTTTTCCGGAGACGACACCGATGTTACTTTGCCTCCGATTCGATCACCAAGCCTATCGTTTGAAAAGCCTTTTCAGCATGCGGGTCAAGAACTCGACCATCCCTTCTTCACCTTGTACGACATGCGTGGATCGAATACCAATGACGTTCGCAATTCCTCTCCAAGGTTCGTCAAGAGGCGCCGATCGGAAAGAACAAACAATACAAAACGTCGTATCCATTAAGGAACCCGCTCGAAGGACAGTAGACCTTGTTTTATGGATCCCACTAGTTACATTACAAGGCAAGACTTGTTGACTATGAAGAGACCAAGACATCAGTGACATGAGCAAGTTTGCACGAATAAAACTGCTGGTGTTTTTATTTGTACTACATCACTATCAATTTTGAAACAATAGGTGAGGTATGTGCATAAGCAAAAGTGTCTTTTGTTGGTCTATGAAATTCTACATGAACATGAAAGATACATATGAAATAAGAGTAGAAGGGGAGGGAAGGAACAAATTCAAACAATAAAAGCATCGCAGGCACGAACGGTTCGAAGTAACCGGACAGAGGGAGGGTGTCAAGGATATAATTGTGTATCTAAAGGTAGGAAAGAACAGTAATTGGTGAGACGAGGCGAAAGGGATAAAGGGGAGGTGAAAGGTACAAGGAGAAGGTAAAGAGGGTAGAAGAGGAGTTGATAGAGGATAAATGAAGTCAAAAGGTGATTTGATGGACGGTAGAGAGTGAGGGGCGGACAAAAGAAAAAATGAGTCAAGGGAATGGAGGACAAAATAGACAGAGAAACTGGTGTCAATCTACTAGATGAATCAACGGTCTTGTAAAAATGCAGCTGCCTTAAATGCCGTATGCTTGCGCCGCATGTAGGTTTGAATTTGATGGAGCTCAAGGAGTGTGAAGGATGCAGAATCAGAATAAAGAATATGTCCGATAGAAAATGGAATAGAATGAAAAAAAAGGCCGCGGTTATTTTTTAAAACAGAAGGAAGAATCAATGGGAGATACATGTCAATATGCACACGCTATCGTGTTCCAAGTCTCTGTCACTTTCCTCCTCTTTGTCTCGCCCTCTGTCTCGCGCTCTCTCTCTCACACATACACACGCACACACTTCTATCTCCTTTTCCACGGAGAGCCGCGAACGAGCGCGTCACGTAAGTGATTGTGAGTAAATAGATGGCGATACCAATTGGGTATTACTCATATCGGCCAAGCAGTTGCTTCGCCAGAATCAAAGAAAAAAAAAAGAGGCAAGCGAGGGAATAAAGGGGAGAGGATGTGGTCAAGAAAGAGGAAGGAAAATCAATGAAGGGCCCGTGCAAACATGTGCACCCTTTTCTCTTTCGAGTCTCTCAGTCATTCTTGACCTCTCTATCTCGCCCTCTCTCTCTCACACACACACACGCACACACTTCCATCTCCTTTTTCATGGAGAGCCGCGAACGAGCGTGTTACGTAAGTGATTGTGAGTAAATGGTGATA